CTGCCTCTGCCCACACCGGCCCTGGCTGGAGCCAGGAAAAGGAATTGATATATTTAGAGATGATGATGACGTAGACTTTCAAATCCTGGGCATGGTGACTGTGACACAGCCCACGATTCCTGTGTGATGTAGGATCAGAAATGGGATTTTGGAGCTAATTTTTCCCCTGACATGGGAGGATCCAACTGCAGTTTTGTCCCCTTTGCCGTGATGGTGACGTGCACAGCCCCAGGGATGCAGGAGTGCTCCAGAATCGGGTGCCAGTGAAGATCCTGAGGGTCGGTGTCCACAAACGCTGAGCTCTGTTCCTTCCATCTCCTGGCAGCCCTTGCTGCTGCCCTCCTGCCTGCTCAGCATCCACCCAGGAGAGTCAAAGCTGTGCAGGGGGGCAGCACTGGCAGTGCTGCTCCGCCTTGGATGCCTTTTGATTTTCCTCCTCTCCCAGATCAAACCTGAGCCCCAGAGGGGGCCTGGCTGGAGCCGGAGCTGCTGCTGGCTCAGGCTGCCAGGGGAGCGGCGTCTGAGTGGAATTGCATTAAAATCTGCCTTTTAAAAAGGAGCCATGCATCTTCCCAGGCAGGGCACAGTGCCAGGGCTCAGCAGAGGAGCTGTCCCTGCCTGCAAGGAGCTGGAGCAGTGTCTCACTCACAGGGCTTGGCAGCCAGGGAGGAATTCAATCAACAGCTCTGTCCTTCTGGAGAGCTCTGGGGCTGGAACAGGAGCACAGAGCTGGGTGCCCACAGCAGCCAGCACAGGCTGTAGAAAATGTGTGCCTGACCTCTGGTGAGATCACTGCATCGTCCCCAGAGAGCTCTGTGGTGGCTCAGGGGCCAGGGAAATGGCCCAGGGGACACACAGCCCTGGGCACGAGTGCCACCTGCTTGGGGGACAGTGCAGGTGGGCACTGCCCAAATGTCTGAGGGCAGCAGAGGGGCAGGAGCTGAGCCTCCCCCAGGCTGCATCCTTTGGCCTCAGAGCCCCTGACCCCTGTCAGTCAGAGCCAATCTCCTCCTGCATCAGAGAATCCTGGAATGGGTTGGGATAAACCTTAAACCCCATCCAGTGCTGATGCCTTGTGCAGGCTGCCCTAGAGCAGAGGCTGAACAGAGTTCCAGAACAAAGCAGGGATTTATCCAAAGCATCTCCTCCATGGATGCACCTTGGGCAGCACCAGAGCCCAGCCAGGGCTGCACCCAAGATGAACCAAAATGGCCCCAAAATGCACGGCCGGGCACGGGCTCTGTCCCTGGGATCAG